ACTTCAGCCACCTCCTCCCTCTCTTCTTAGTGCCAAAGGGCCCTCTTCCCAGGACAAAAATATCTCCCTTGTTGTCTTCTGTCTCTAGAGCATCCAGCATAGCTAGGAAGTACTGATGGGAATCTGTGACTTAGAGAGCTCTGGTGGAGCTACCAGTAGCGAGCATAGTAACTGAGGGAAGACTGGGGGTCCCCTGAGCAGCTGTTGCTCCTGTAGGATCCCTGCGAAGAAGCTGGCCCACATCCACTCTGTCTTGTCACATCCTCTCATTCCTGAACTGCCCCCGATGTTCTGGGGATGAGCCATCTCTAATGGATTCCCCTATGCAGCTATAATCCCTAGGGTTTAGATGTTTTTCGTTCTTGAGTCATGGGAGAGAAATCCTATTGGAAGTGAGATAAAGGTAGCATTTTACACTGTTTTTTATGCAGCACATTCAATTTTTAGTGTGTTCCAGTTGCCTTGGGTTTAGTTGTTGTTTTGTTTTGCTTTTATGAGACTGGGTCTCATGTAGCCCAGGCTGGCCTTAAACTTGTTGTCTAGCCAAGGGTGACCATGAACTCCTGATCTTCTTGGCTCTACCTAAGTGTTGGGATTATAGGAGTCTGCTGCCATGATAGACTTGGGTTATTTTTAAACATGTGAAGTTATAGTTAAGAGTGACATTGTTTGTTTGTTTTAGTGTGTGTGTGTGTGTGTGTGTGTGTATATGGTGTTTGTGTTTGAGTGTGTGTGTGTGTGTGTGTGTGTGTGTGTGTGTGTGTGTGTGTATGTGTGTGTGTAAGTCAGAGGACAACTTTATGGAGTCAGTTCTCTCCTACTCCACATGGGTTCTAGGGATGGAACTCATCAGGCTTGCTCTTTTACCTACTGAACCACTTGACTTGCCCAAAGTTATTTTTAAAAATCAACACTACACATAAATATCAAAACCCAACCCTGGGATCTGGAGAGACTCTGTCCTTGGGGTGACAGAGCCATGACAAGATCTGGAAGTAGCTGTCTTGGAGGTGGTTAGCTTCTTACTGGGTCATACCAGGTCACTCCCACACTGAGCTACTCACACCTAGCTACACAGTCAGGTAGGTTTCAAGCTTCTCCTCTCAGTGTTACAAGAAGTGTGACAGTAGTATTTTATGGGAAGGAGATTTATTTGGGTCACAGTTGTGTGGGAGGGAAGATATGGTAGAAGAGGCTTAGTCTGTGTGGATGGGAGCTTGTAGCTGTGACTTCTCTCATGGGGACAACCTTCACTGCCTGTCAGTGTCTTCAGCCAGGCCCCACAGCTTCTTAGAACAGTACCTCTAGGTGGGGACCAAGTGTTCAAACATATGAGCTCATAAGGGACATTTCATAGTCAACTTATAGTAATTTGGTATTTCTTTTAAACTGGCTGTGTGTGTGTGTGTGTGTGTGTGTGTGTGTGTGTGTGTGTTCATGAATTTGTAGAATCCAGAGTACAACATCATTGTCCTGTGCTGGCTGCCTTTTTTTACTTGAGAGAGAACTCATTGGCATGGTGATCATCAAGTGGCTTGGTTGGCTGTTTAGCAAGCTCTAGGGATGTGTCCACTTCCCCAGCACTGGGATTACAAGCGTGTGTCACCATGCACATCTTTTCCTCCTTCCCCACATGGGTTCTGGAAATTAAACTTTGATCTTAAAGCTTGTGTGGCAAGTAATTTACTGACTGTGCTATCTCCATTGACAACTGGGCTCTCTTGTTCTGTCCATTGTTAGAAATTTTCAGTTGGACGCATCACATCGTTAGTGCTTCTTGAGTCCATCAGAATCTCCATGTATTCTTAACAGAGAGTGCAGGCAGGCTCCCAGCTTGTAGAGGTAGCTACACTTGGAATTTACTGTATTGCTTCACTTCTGTAGCCTTTAGTTTTTCCATTCCTTTCTACTTTTGTCATGGAAGACTGGCTTTCTGTTTATGCTGGGAATAAGGTATTTCTTTGAAAACAACATCGTTTAAAGAAAAAAAAAAAAGCATGGGCTTATGATGAAAATACTAAAAAACATGCAATGTAGATGTTGTGTTGCTATAGAAAAAGTGGAAATTAAGAGAGGAATGGCATTCCCCCATACCTTGCTCAGTCTTGATACAGGGAAGAGGGGCTTGGTCCTACCTCAGCTTGATATGCCAGACTTTGTTGACTCCCAAGAAAAGCCTTACCTCCTCTGAGGAGTGGATGGGGGGCAGTGAGAAGGGAAGAAGTGGGGGTTGGACAAGGGGAGGGAGGAGGGACTGGGGTTAGTATGGAAAATGGAAAAAAATTAAATAAAAATAAAAAGAATAAAAAGAGAGGAATGGCAGAGCTTTGGGATATTTTGGTCCAATATCACTTGTGGATAGTATTGTGGAGACTCACAGTCTCCACTTCATAAGTCTGGGATTGGTTGTATTTTGGAATTGTCTTTTGGCATGGGGCTAGCACTTTGTGAGTTGTGACTCTTATAGAAGACACTGGGGCACCATAGTCATCTAGACTAGCAGTGTCTCTGTGGTAAATGTCTGAATATTGACCTTAAGTGGGGGAAATAAAGACCTTACATAAGTTTGAGTTAGATTTGCCATAAAATCCATTTGTGAACCAAATGCATAAGAAGAAAATGAATTTCAGGGCTTCAAATATTTTAATTATTGCTAAGGGATAATTCATAGCCCTGCCTTTGTAACTCAGTCATAAGACCTAATCAAATTAATAATTCAGAAAAAAATTAGACTCTAAGTCTCCATCCTCGGCCCTCTTGTAGTTGATCTTGTGCCGTGAACACAGTCTTCATACAGACCCTAACATGGCAGGTGGGGCACGGGTTTATAATGGACAAAGTACATTCTACCTGTGTGCTGGAGAACAGCAGGTATTTCGGGTCCTGTTCATCACTGGAGCAAGTGGTTGTAGTTCTGAACATAGTGCTCTTGGTCATTAAGAACAAGGTCCTAGGGACCGGAAAGATGCCTGTTAGAAGCACTTGCTCTTTCAGAGGAGCAGAGTTTGGTTCCAGCACCCTCATCTGGAGTCTCACTCCACCTGTGACTCCAGCCCCAGGGGATCTGATGCCCTTCTTAGGCCTCCTCCCACCTCCCCAGGCACTTACATGTGTGTGTACACATGCACACAGAAAAAAAATATTCAAGCTGTTGGTAACAGCAGTACATTCATCGAAGCCCCTCAACTTGGGGTGGGATTTCACTTGATTCTGTATCTTTAAAATTAAATCTATTCATTGCTCATTGTCTTCTTAAGTTAATCCAGCTATGAATGAAGCTTTAATAGGACAGTCATCAGAAGGAAGATGAATGGCCTCTAAGTGTGATGGCAAAAGTGCCAGGTGTTTCATGTCTGTAAAAGCAAAACACTGTAGAAAAGCCCAGCATGCCACAAGGCCATGCTGTATTATTTGTGACTGCTTTCAAACATTCTCCAGAATGACAAATGAGCAGAACATTGAGAGTGTTTTGTTGCATCCTTGAATTATAACTAGTGGAACCTCTTCTGCGTAATTAAAATGAATGTGTGTATAGCCATTGATCATTAAGGTCATACTTGTGAAGTTGCCTGTGGGCTTTGTGTGTATCTCATTGCTAGCTAGTTAAATAAATTAATAAAATAACCAATTATCATCATAAGAAAACATTTTCCTTAATTTTAGTGTTCTGTGGAGGAAAGTAGATCTAGATTTGTAATCTGAAGCCAGGGCCATTTGGTTTGTTCAATTCATATGTCTTTATATCTTTTATGTCCTCCAGAATTTTCTGTGGAAAAACAGAATTTTCAAACAAAGAACATCAACCCAGTAATTATGAGCCATGATTCGCAGTGTGATTTTACCTGTGATAGAGCTAAGACAGACAGTGGGTTGCATAACAATTCTAATGGCCTTGGGACAGTACTGTCCCTTGTTTTGTTTTTAAAACAGGATCTTATTCTATAGGCCTGGCTGGCCTAGAACTTGCTACCTCGACCAGGCTGGTCTCAAACTCACAGGGATCCACCCATGTCTGCTTCCTTGCTGGGTTTGAAGGTGTGTGCTACCACACGCAGCTCATTTCATTCCCTTTTGTATCCATTCAAGAAAACTTGCTAGGTAACACTGTGTGTGGCTATACCATGAATCTATCCCATTAAAGTCACTTGCAGATACAATACTATGGTAGTATTATTATCCATGTACTTCATGCTGGTCATAATTGAAGATCTTAATAATGACAGCAAACATTAATAACAGTAACATATCATATTAATGGAGCACTTACTGTCAACTGCTGTAGGTATTCAGACAAATTTCATTGCCATAAGCATGCAAAGAAGAGAGTGGTGTTACTCTGCTTTAACACATGGGGAGACTCCAGAGGTGTCTGGAGATTGAATAAACAGACCGGGCACAGGAAGCCAGGCTTCTGGCTTGCACAGGTTTTATTGCCTTCAACTGTGTGCTCTCTGCAAATACAGTAGCATGTCAACTCTCCAGGACCCCCACTCAAAGCAACGTTTACTATTTGAAGCAAATCTGAGACCATGGAAGCAAAAGCCATTTCTGTTATTCAAAATGAAAGAGGGTTTGTAGATGATCCAGAGTCACCACTTCTGGGCTTTGTGCTGTCTTTGGATCATTAGTAACTCATCCAGTTTGAACTGTCATATACTTGAGAAGTATGATACTAACTAATGCTTCTACGTTGTTAGTAAAGGAAATGGAGTTGGTTTTAATGTGTGAGAACTTAAAGGTCTCCCATGAGGGGGAATCTATACTTCAGTAGGCTAATACTGTTATCTGTCTAGAACTATTAAAGTTTGAGATAAAGGAGAAGATTTAGATATAGAAGAGAAAGTACTTCTTGCATTGTAACTCTTAAGGTATGAAGACAAAAAATACCAGGTTAAAATGCATTTTGTTGTTTTTTGTTTGTTTGATTAAGAAGGCAAGGCTTGGTTGTAAGAGGAATTGCTCACACTTGTTAATTTTTCAATCCTGCTCATTTCTTCTAGATCACTCCTTTGATGGTCTTAAAAAATCCAAGCATGCCCCAACGTCTCTCCCTGCCGGCCAGCTCTCAGACATGCTGAATGGGGGTGATGAGGTCTATGCTAACTGTATGGTGATTGATCAGGTAAGGCATGCTGAAGTGATCAGGAGTATATGATCCCCTTTCCAAAATGGGGGGGGGGACAGAGACAGCGACAGAGGCAGAGAGACAGACAGAGAGACACACAGAGAGATTGAGCTCTCTTGTGATCATTTGAGAATTCTAGCTTAAGCCCCACCCCCAGGCTTTAACTTGGAGTCTTCCTTGGGACACAGAATACCTTCCTCCACCAAGAAGCACTGGAATGGAGGGATCTTGAGTGTAGCAAGGAGGAATGAGAAAGCTCTTTGATGGAGCCAAACAAGAAATGGCAATAAGTGGCCAGTATCATTCACATAGCTTTTCAATGAGTGCTTCTTCCTCCCACCCCGAATGAGTGTGTGTGTGAGAGGGGGGGAGGGGAAGAGGGAGAGGGAGAGGGCAAAAGAGAGGGAGAGGGAGAAAGAGAGAGAGAGTATATATTTAAAGGTAGCAGGCAGTAATGAGTAGGTAGATAATACCTGGTCCCTGCCCATCTGATGTGGTCACATGATGGTCTCTCATCCTTGTAACATGGCAGCTGATGAGTACTGAGATTAAGGAACTTTGATGTGCAAACAGAACAGTGTCCTCTCATGGGAAAACTGGAACATGGAGAATTTCTCCACTCCTTCCCCAAGGTAGAGACATGTGGGCTCAAGCTCAAAGCAGAGCTTAGCTGCATCAGCTCTGCTTAGCTTTGGTTCTGTTCTTCAATCAGTCATTTTTAAGCTTTTGTGTATTTACATGTAAGGCTTATTATATTTGTGATAGTATATAATATTTATTTTCTAGCCCTTTGGGGGATAGTTGACAAATATAATATGCACTGAAATATACAAGGTGATGTATATATTCATATACATTGTGAAACTGTGATTAACACGTGGGAGTATAGACAGTTCTCGAGGAGAGTGACTGTATTTCCCTGGATTTATACCCAGAATGGGGTCTCTGGATTGTATGGTTATTGTATTTTGAGGTTTTTCTTTTTCTTAAGGAATCTCTGCTGTTTTCAATGATGGCTGTGCTAATTTACAGCCTCCATCCACAGTGTGCCAGGGCTCCCTTCTCTACTCCCTGGCTAACTCTCTTCTGCTGCTTTCTAATGACAGCTATAACATGGCACTTGGCTGTGGGTTTGTCTTGCACTGGTGTTAGTAGACATCTTTTTATATGCATGGTACCCATTAGGGAGTCTTTTTTTGAAAATTGTATGTTTAGGCCCTTTGTTCATTTAAAAATGGATTGCTATTGCTGTGTGTGTGTGTGTGTGTGTGTGTGTGTGTGTGTGTGTGTGTGTGTGTGTCTATATGTGCGTGTGTGGG